ACTCGGGCCTGCCACAGGTGTTTCACTGCAGTGTAGACATAGGCTAAGAGACCTCAGTCATGTCCAGGATCCAGTTGTGTTAAGCACTGTAAAACACACATTGAGTCCCTGCCCCAAAGAGCTTGCCAACTGAAATGGACAAGACGAAAGAGTGAGAAGCATGGCCCATTTTACCAGAGGGGAAATGAGGGTGGTGGAGATGCCTTGCTCAGTTGCACAGAAATTGAACCATTCCCAAGAAAGATGGTTTGCTTTGGTGTTTCAGACTCTGAAGTTGAGGCAATGGACACAACCCCAGCAAAAGGAAAGAAGGCTACGCCGGTGAAGGCTGTTCCAATGAAAGCAAAGGCGGACTCTGAGGATGATGATGAGGACGACGACGACGAAGATGAGGACGATGATGAGGATGACGACGATGATGATGAAGAGGAAGGTGAGCTGAATGTTCTATGCATGCGTAAATCCCTGCTGCTTAGTAATACACAGAACTCCTCTATAGCAGCAGTAGGCAAGAAGTGTGTCCAACCCTGTCTTCCAAAGCTGGAACTGATGAACACTCACTGAAATGATGTGAGGAAAATCACAATGAAAGTTTCTCAAGATAGTCAAGTACTGATCCAGCGTGACGGAGGGTGGGGGTGTCACTGGATGCCTTGCTTAGAATAAAAATAAGATCCTTCTAATGTATTTTCCTGTACCACAGAATCTGTGAAGGAAGTTCCTGGAAAACGAAAGAAGGAAATGCCCAAGCAAAAAAGTGTTCCAGAAGCCAAGAAAAAGAAAACTGAAGGTATGTAGTATGGTGCAGCCTGAAATGTGAGTGCAGCTAAAGTCAAGGCTCCCCTTACTGCAGTGCTCCAGAGAGAATGTTCAAAATGTCTTCATTTAATGTGGGAAGGTTCTAGCTGGGGAACTTGCACTATGGGGTTTGAATCTTTGGCTTTTATATGGTGCTACCAGCACAAATGATGAATACTAGGGACTTAATACTGAAGTCTGATGTGACTTGGATATAAACTGATGTGCCGTAGTCCTAAAATGCCTCCAATTTAATCATCCTTTAATTTGCCTAATTGAACTTCACTTTTTCTTAAAGAAACTGCTTCAGCTTTCTCTCTGTTCATGGGAAACTTGAACGCCAGCAAGGACTATGAGGAACTGAAGACTGCCATCAAGGAGTTCTTCGGCAAAAAAGACCTTCCAGTTCTGCAAGTCAGAATTGGTGGTTCCAAGTAAGCTCTTCACTATAATTCTGCTGCTACTTTCTCTTCATATTAAGCTGTAAACTACTGGCACAATTAGGAGGCATAACTGGGACAAACAAAATGTTTAAGTGATCACTGGATAGTATGTGGAACTGTTTAGACCAAGTTCAGCCTTATGCTATTCTGAACAAGGTGGAGCACTTCCTCTCAGGACTGGTAACTGCTTCAGGCAGCATGTCCATACCAAAGAGGAAGGCTGCAGTGTTCATTTTATGTAATTTACGTATAGCCCTTTTTGGGGCAGCCGAGTCTAAGCTATTACACTTTCTAAAGAGCTATTTTTTGAGTGTCTTGGGGGCAATTTGGTTTCATTTTTCTGAAAATATTTAGTACTGAACCGCTAATTCTTACTAGTTCTGTGACTTGGGTAAGTGTGTCCGTTTGGCAGATGTTGAAAGAGGTTAAGTGACCCTCCTGGGGAGGCACAGGAAATCTGTCACGATTTGAATTCAGGACTGCTTTAAAGACCTAAACCAGCATACCTTGTAGCTGAGATGTAACTCGTCTTGATGCATTTGGATCTCTAAATTAGAGTTCCAGGCTGAAAACTTGCAGTCTTAGCAATCTGATAGATTCCTTGTTGAGGAGCACAGCTCTTCTGACTCCCCCTAGTTGTGTAAGGTTTATATTTTATATTTTAATGGCTTCCACTGTAAAGCTGCTTCAGTCATTAACTTTTTTGAAGGCAGCTCTTAGGGTATGCGTACACTGCACTTTAAGGCTTTTTCTACACTGGGCTTTCGTTGGCAACACTTCTGTTGCTCAGTGGTGTGGGGAAAAAAAAAACACCCCACCCCCAATGATAAAAGTTTTGCCGGCCAAAAGTACTGATGTGAACAGCTACCGCATTGGGGGTGGGAGGTTTTTTTTGTTTTTTGTTTTTTTGGTTGGGAGAACTGTCTCCTGCCAACAAACAGCGTCTATGCTGCGTGCCTAAAAGGTGAGTAGTGTAGACATAACCTAAGTCCAGCCCTGATTGAGTTTTGAGCCCAAGTCCCCTTTCCATCCACACACACATCAGTCTGACTCGTATCAGCAAGCAAGAGGACTTCGATCCTAGGGGGGCCCCCACTGTGGTTCTGGTCTAAGCCCTTGTCATTTTGCAGTGTGGATGCAGCTCTAAGCTGCAGGCCCAAGTCAAGAGGTCTGTGCAGTGCAGGGTGGGTGCAGTAGCATGGCTGTGAGACCCGAGTCCAGCAATTGTAGGCTCAGGTTTACAATGCAGTGTGGATGCTCAAGCGTGGGTTTGGAAACATCAGCTCCATAAGCTTAGGTTGCACAGACCATGGTTTATAATGCAGTGTAGACATATCCTTATTGACCACACTTCCACAATGTGTTCTGACACTAACGCCAAAGTTCAGGGTAGATATTAAAGTCTTCCTTCTTTCAGGCGGTTTGGCTATGTAGATTTCTCATCAGCCGAGGATCTGGATAAATCCCTGGAATTTAATGGGAAGAAATTCATGGGTTTGGAAATCAAACTGGAGAAAGCAAGGAGTAAAGAAATCATTAAAGAAACAAAGAAAGGTATGAAAAAGAATGCAAGTTAGTTATCTGCTAGATTTCCAGGTAATGCGTCTTGTCATGTTAAGCAAGCCAGTGACTGACTGACTCTGCTACTGGCCTGTTCGGTTTGGTGATTGTAGTAATACCTGCAGAAATGGTTAATGTATTAATGATCTGGATTGTGTTTGGGGGAATGTTCATATTACCAGCATGTGGTAAAGAGATTTCTACTTTTGGATGTAGAGCCCTTAATGTGTAAAATTATAACTGTTCCTGGCACAAATATAAAATATCAACGTGACTTGTGTTTTGGTGATATAATTGAATTACTTTGGCTTTCCTGGTGCTGGCATTTTGTTCAATGTGGTACAGTATACTAGAGAATCTTAATTTTTTTGTCTTTCTGTAGAGAGAGATGCCAGAACACTCTTTGTTAAGAATCTGCCTTACCGTATAACTCAGGATGAATTGAGAGAAGTATTTGAAGAAGCGCTAGAAATCAGGCTAGTGGCTGGCAAGGACGGGAGCAGTAAAGGGTATGTAGTTGTGATAGTTTTAGTTTTTTTTCCCAGGCATGCATTGCCTTTTTAATGTAGACTGTCTTTTTGCTAATTAGAAAAGTGAAATTAAATACTTGTCCTGAAAGCATTATCTGGGTTTTAGCTTTTTGTGCATATTCAACACTCCCCAAAGAAACAGCTTGTTCATCTGCTGTCTTTACTGTTGTAGGATTGCCTATGTAGAGTTTAAAACAGAAGCTGAGGCAGACAAGGCACTAGAGGAGAAGCAGGGCACTGAAATCGAGGGACGTGCCATCATCTTAGACTACACAGGAGAGAAGAGCCATCAAGAGACACAAAAAGGTATTTATACAGCACTATGATGTGCTAAAGGTACCTGATAGCCAATCCACAGATAAGCTTTACCAAGACAGGGGATAGGTAGGCTGTGATGCTATCACAAGCAAATCAGAGCAGTTCACAGGGAATCCTTTGTATTTCTTCCTTTTTTCTTTCTACTTTCAATCCCTTACACTTCATGCCATCTTATATAGTTATAAAAGATCACAATGGCTACCATTCTAATTTGCATATTAGTGGGAAAGAGGTCCATCAGTTCAGACTTGAGTCAACCTGCCCCTGTCATGCTGGACCTTGTGAAACAAGTACCTTCATTCTCTAGACCTTGACCTAGAGAGAGAGTGTTCATTGGTGAATATTCTTGGATTTGAGGATTTTGTTTTGAAGGCTGTTAATCCAGCAGCACCTTGCACAAAGGAGCACTTAAACCATTCTTAAATCCTTCTGGAGTTTTAAGTTACGCAGCAGTTCTCCAGTTCTGAACAATCTAGCTAGTCCAGGTACCAATTACCCTGACATACAATACACTAGATGCCAATTAAGCGTTTGAAGGTTATTAGTTTGTGCTTGGGAGTGCACCTTGTGCATGGTGACTGAGGCAGATACCATAGTGGAGCAAAGATACATAATACTGAAAATACCCCATTCCCTCTTGCTCCTAAAAGCTCTGTTGGTTTTAGTTCGGAAAAGTCTGTCTGTAAATGTGCAGTTCTAAGTTGTCTTTCTCTTTCCTGATAGGTGGAGAGTCAAAGACCCTAATTGTGAACAACCTCTCATACAATGCAACAGAAGAATCTCTTCAAGAATTGTTTGAAAAAGCCTCTGCTATCAGGATGCCACAAAATAACCAGGGCAAGCCTAAAGGGTGCGTAAGAGTGGAGTTGTATTTCCTCCCCCTCAAAAAAACTAACAAAACCTTAAGTGATCCAGCCCTGTAGTAAAGATTTGAATATTGGCAGCATGACTTGTTTCATGCTATTTAGGACCCATATGGGAACAAGTCTCCAGTCTGATCTGAATTTTTCTCTCCACCTAGATATGCGTTCATCGAATTTTCCACAGTTGAAGATGCTAAGGAAGCTTTGAATTCCTGTAACAACACAGAAATTGAAGGCAGAACAATCAGACTGGAATTCAGCGCACCAGCCGGACAGAAAGGCAGTGGTAACTCCAGAGGAGGATTTAGTCGTAAGTGCCCTGTGCTTTATCCTGACCTACAGAGGTTTTGAGATTTTGATTCAGTTATAATTCATGTACACTTAATTCTGTTCCCCAAAAATCATTTGACGTGGACAAATGGTGTGGAAAAGACCTGCTTCTCAGATGCTAGGAACAGTGAACAGCAGCAAGAGTTAAGTTTAAGAGGTGGATATGATGACTGAGATACTGATGAAATAATCTCAAAATTCCTTTGGATAGTAAAGTACTGATCAAGCTGTGTTAATTGTAGTTATGATTATGCCTCCTTCATGACTGAACTTGTTTTTTGTGAGCATTTCTGTTGTCTAACAGAACAAGTTTTTTCCAAGGTCAGAAACAAGGGCGGGGGAATGTCTTGGCATAAGCTGCTAATATTTTTCCCTCTTTTAAAATCTTGAAACAAAAACACCTTAGCTGTTTGCATGTCAGTCACTTAAATGTTTTTGGCCTTTCTATTTTTGTAGTTGTGGCCCAGGAAAGCAACCTTTATAATGTTGGTGTAGATAGGGGTTTTTATCTGACATCTCAAATTAGTCCACAGTGTTCAACTGGCTAATGTCTCCTTTTTTAACGTAAAAGAGCTTGATGTATGCGTGGCTGGGAACCTGGCTCACATATCTTACTTAAGGCACAAACTTTACAAAAGTGTAAAAAGCAACAGAGGGTCCTGTGGCACTTTTAAGACTAACAAAAGTATTGGGAGCATAAGCTTTCGTGGGTAAGAAACTCACTTCTTCAGATGCAAAAGGGGTTGATCTGAAAATGGATTCTCTTTGTTTAGAACAAACCAAAACGCTGTTTGTCAAAGGCCTTTCTGAGGACACCACAGAGGAGACGTTGAGGGATTCGTTTGAGGGTTCTGTCAATGCCAGAATAGTCATGGACAGAGACACTGGCTCCTCCAAAGGGTATGTTAAATTCTAATCTGGAGATGGTATAATTCACTTCCTGCTGGAAGAGGTCTAGATTAATCAATTGAAATTCTAACTGACCTCAAATTGGCATTAATAACATTGTCAACTAGTTCCTAAGAGGAAACAGGGGTGCAATCTTGGATATTCTATTACATCTGTCAACAGTAAAGGTGTAACAGCCTCCCTTCTCAATGAGCTCCTTCCTGCCGTAAAATCAGTGGCAGCCTATGGATTCGCACGAGAAGAAAATTAAGTGCTCAGTGCTGGCATATTCACCTTCTGGCTTTAGATGAGTGATTAGCCAAGGCTGTGGGACACTGTGGATGTGTGTTCTTGTGTAACAAGCTGTGCTTAGTCCTGTGAATGGCCATGAAAAATGGTGGTGTAGATCTTCTGCTCTGACTGCCAGTGGGCCAATATTAATAGTGCAAACAGATCCTCTATGATGAGGTTTTATTCTCTGCTGCTCCCTCCTCACCCAGTAGCTCATACAGTTTCTTAAATTGAGCCTCTTATGGGATATTTAAATGTTGCAGCGTTGATTGCTGGGCCAACATTAGACACACAGTAATTTGGACTGAAGGTGTTGTGAAGAAGCAGCATAGTAGGGAACTTGCAGCAAGAGTGCTAAAAGTAAAGGAGGCAATGAGCAGGTTACACAAATAATGCACATTTAAAGTTGGCATGGTGTTAACAAGCTAGAACTTTGAAAGACTAAAGCTTATAGGATGGTGGGAAGCCAAATACAGTGGAAACACCACCCCTCTCCCCCCACGTGTTCTCTTTTTAAATGCATACATTACGGTGTAGCTCTTCAGTATGCGTGGCATTCTGGGGAAGGGTGGAACTGCTGCGTGGCTCACTTCAGTGGAAGGTGAACTCCTGTCTTTTCACTACCTTGTATAGATTTGGGTTTGTGGACTTCAGCTGCCCAGAAGATGCCAAAGCAGCTAAAGAAGCTATGGAGGATGGAGAGATCGATGGAAACAAAGTGACCCTTGACTATGCCAAGCCCAAGGGTGATGGTCAGCGTGGTGGTGGATTTGGCGGTGGATTTGGCGGACGCGGAGGAAGAGGAGGACGGGGTGGCAGAGGTGGATTCGGTGGACGGGGTGGCGGCAGAGGATTTGGAGGTACGAAGAAAGTATAACCAAAGCTTAGCATGTTATCGACTTCAGTCTTTGACTTGTCCAAAATGTTGCCTGACTAATCCCAGGCCAGGCACATACTTTCAGATTCTCAGAGGTGGCACATTAGAATACTAATGTGCTGTCCATGTACTAACTTCTGAGTCAGGCTAAATGCAACGTTGGTTCCTAATCTCTTCAATTTCTTTCCAGGTAGAGGAGGTGGCTTCCGGGGAGGCAGAGGAGGAGGAGGAGGAGAACACAAGCCACAAGGGAAGAAGATAAAATTTGATGACTAAGCGTTCCCTTTTCCTTCCTTCCCCTGCTATCTGAAAGGACTCTGGGGTTTTTATTCTGTCACCTTGTTTTGACACGGAGCCTTCTGAGGACATTCCAAGATGCAAACAGTACTGTGAGCCACTTGGGAAAAGTAACTATCATTTCAAAGAGAGCGGCAGCTTGACTGCCTGGCTATTCAAGTGAACTTTTTAAAGAAATGAGTGCTAGATGTGGGAGTTTCCCCTTGTCTGTGAGTTGTCTTGAATTTATAACGTTTTACCCCATGTACAAAAATATTTTTTTCCCTATAAATTTCCGTAGGTTTTTTGCTGTAAAAATGCAGACCGTTTTATCATTTTTTGTGCTTCGGCACCCTGTCTCAGACAGATTAAAGGGCCTGAACTGGTGCATGTCTTCCTGCCATTCTTCATCAAGTGCTGATGAGTTAGCACGCTGGGACAGGAAAGCAAGCAAGCTCTAGATTAGAGCCCTGCGTGGGACTAGTGTAGGATCCCTGCAGCGGGACTGGGATCCTGCAGGACCCGCTGTCATCGTAACAAGAGTGAGTGGGACCAGGATTAAAAAAAATAGTCCCATGCAGGGCTCTACTCGGGATGGACATTTGAACCTGTTTATATGTAGCCGAACTAGTTGGTCTAAGATCTCTGCTGTGCCACCTCTTGTTATTCGAAGAGTGCGCACTCTAACTCACCATAGAACGGCTGTTCCAAATCCCATTCCTGTGCTCGCAAGCCTCCAAAACTGCGAGTTGCTGTTTGGAAAGCATATAGCAGCTCTGTATATAGGATCACTGATGGTAGGATGGACAGGTCTAAGATTTAAAAACTACTGCCTGTGAAAGAGGGTGGAGGGAAATACGATGATATGGCTTGGGCAAATCAATTTAAAAAAAAAAAACCCTACATTCCTGATGTGAAAGGGCCCAGTGGTGTTAAATGCCCAGATCATTTGCTTTAGCTCTGTGCCCCCTATATTGTAGTCAGAGTTACAGAATCTAAACTCATAAATGAAAGTTTCTAGCCCTCTTGGTTAGGAAGAAAACCTAAATATACACTGATGGAACTTTGTCTTCCCAAAACATTAACCAGCTTCATTGCTTTAGTTCTAACTAATGCCTTTATATGTATGTCTGTTTTATTGCTACCTGATGTATATGGGGCTGGGAATTAGGACTTCCTGCCTGGAGAGAAATGTGGACGAAAGGAAGAAAGGAAACCCGTGTCTGCTCCCATGACTCAAGTAATGGAGGTTAAACTAAACATTTCACTAAATAAAGCTTGACCAGCTAGACCGAGCACATCAGTTACACAAATCCAACTGTTCCAAGTTTACATGTCATGTAGTAATTAAGCTAACTGTCTAATGGAATATATCAAAACAGACAAGTCAGGGAGAATTTTAGAGGTTTCCTGAAAGATGCTATTCTCTAACAAAACTCCAAGAAGTATGAGCCTACCACTTCTGTCATTAAGTCTAATTCCTGCTGTAGCCACTTATTCGATCATATGTCATGGATCTCTTACCTTCTCCAGATGGTGTGCATAACAAGTCATCCTTTACATTCCTTTGAATGCCAAGCTGATAGAGCTGAACTGTGTCTACCTGACAGTAGACAGTGGTGAAACGACTGCTGTAACTTTGTAGTAGGGCAGTGTGTAGAGGCCCCATCAGGCATTGTGGAGCCATTGTATTGGGCACAGGATGGAGTAAAACTACAGCTTTTCCACAGTGTTTAACATCTGCATAGATAAAGACAGGCTGGGAGAAGGAAATCCCCATCTAGGGCTGGAGGCCTAGTGCATAAGCATTTTGCCCATTGTAACAGGAAGTCTGACACATTTCCATGTGAACACCAAAAGGCATCGTATTTCAGTGGTGTGAGCACATGCCTATTGGAATCTGATTTTCCTCTTGTCAGCTGTAGTTACACCTACATTTCCTATGTAGCCTGGGATATCACTTAGCCTGTGTGGATTTTCTCTCCTAGAAAACTAACAGCTGCCTCTTAGTAATGTCAGATTACTTGGTACAGTACTGATTTTTTTTTAAAAGTGATGTATTTCCACACTTTTGTCTTTAAAGGCATGAAAGTACCAGCTCTTAACTCTCCTACAAAAGATAACTAGATGTGTTACACATGTATCTCAAGAGAGCACTGGAGACTAAATGCAGCATAGATTCTTTGCCCTATTATTGTGGTATGTGATGTTCTACCCAACTTATCTGCTGTATTCTACACAATCAAAGATTTTAAAAAGTGGCATCTGTGTGTGTGTTTGGGGGCCCTCCTATTCTGTGCACCTAAAACCCACTGCAAGGCATCTTCCTTCTGGGACAGCTTGCAAGGCCTAGACGTTCTAGTTACTTGAAAGCTCTGTGTGAGGCTCATCGCTAGTATCTACATCTGTTACTGAACTTATTCCTAGTGATGCTGGGAAGTGTTTACATGGGGGAAACTGAGGCACAGACACGCCCTGATGAGAAGCAGGCCTTTTGTCACTACGCCAGATGGAAGACTTAGGAGGAGTCAGGAGCAAAATCCCTATGAACTCCAGGGTGTTGATGTCATAACTGCTGTTTAATAGCAGAGGCTGTTTCAGTATTAAAATGAATTATATAATGTGGTAAAATATTATATAATATTATATAACTACACTAGGTAAAGGCTGTCTTGATGTGTCAAATCTTCAACTCGCTGGCCTAGAATGGGTTCCGTGTTACACCTGTAAGTACCCAAGAATGCTTCCTTTCTACAGCCTCGGTGCAGCTGAGCACCGCAATTCCCACTACAATTGCATTTGGGATGTGGCTCCGAATGAGAGCTAGGTGGTGTAGGGTGACATACAAGTCTTGGAAGCAGCTTAGAGGTCCTTCCTTCCTGTCTTCATTTGAGA